TGTATTAGTAAAGAGTTTCCTAGGTGAATGAAATCACAGATCCAGTTCCTATATGCCAATGATTATGGACATATTTAAACAAGTATAAACCAGAATTAACTCTTAGTACATTAGTACTTTTAGTATATTGCCATGCTAAAAATAAAGGAACTAATATTTTGACAGGCAGCCTAGATATCACAATCTTAAAAACAAACAAAAAAACAAACTCTCAGAGAAATTACTTTCAGCATCACCATTTGTTTTCCAATAAGGAATCACTGAGTATTTACCCCAAATAAAAAAAAAATAAAATCATTCAACATCAAAGGAGTAAAAAGATACACCTTGCAGAAAAATATGGAAGTTAATTCATTTATAACCTCAGCTAATTATTATTACTACTCAATTTGGCCTTCATTTTGAAGATTCACCTGAAGAAATATACTTGTCCAAAAAACAAAGTAACTACTCTTGTGTCTTGTAGAACATTATACAGAGAGAGCATTTTATATGAACTATTATGACACTATGAGGACCTGCTCTTGGGTGCAAATTTATAGCTAAAATACACGAATCAGAAATTTTTCACATCTCTTAATGAGCACTAAAGTTCTTTCAAACATTTGCTTTGAAATTCCAACCCCACAACAAAATCCCTTCATTTCAAGAACCATTATTTCTCTCCATGGTTTGTCATTTGAACCTTGGAGAATCAGCTGGTTCATGTATCATTCTGCCACTAGGTGACACTGTTGCACATGTGGCTTTAAAAAAATGTAACTGTAATATTAAAACAGGGCTACAAATCACATTACTATATGAAAACAAGAACAGAAAATAAATGCTGTCTCAAAGTTAATCCATAATCTGAGAGTTCCTTAGACAAACAAGAACAGAAAATAAATGCTGCCTCAAAGTTAATCCACAATTTGAGAGTTCATTATATGAAGAGACAAATTTATGGAGGAACTTTAAATTTGATCTATGCCTCATATCTCTTAATGCTACAATTAATGAACCCAACATGGGTAAAATTTACTGCACCTGGAAGTCAAAAGAACTTGTTATGGGGCAAAATCCACTTATAAAAAGCAAACTGAGGTTTAAAAACAAAAAAAGAAAATACTTCATGGCTACTTCAAAATGAATACCAGGAAGACACAAAAATCAAAGCAAACATCTATTCACTACTGGTTACTGATTTGAAAAAAATTTTTTTAAGAACTTCACATTGTATGTGTCCCATTTAGTTTCCAGTTCTTAGCAGGCACTTGGTTGTTCTGGCAAAATTACTGCCTCTTCCTTAGGAGAGTCTGGCCATTCACTTTTACAGACTGACTGTTTTTTGGTCCTGAGTGTACAAAGTTCCAATCCACTGGACTGAGCAGCTGCTGAGTCTTCTTGTGTGTCCAGTATGGGTTAATAATTAATGTAAGGAGGGCCAGTCCAACAAGGAAAAGTGCAAGGTGTGGATGAGCCAGACTGTTGAGTAGATCATCCCAGTGCAGAAAACATACCCACCACATGTGGTAGGTCAAAAACATGCGTCCATGAAACATGTGGATCATCAACCACTGGTTTACCTTCCAAAACAGAGTATCTGCCCAGCCAGCCTGCAAGGGGAGAAAACAAATATAATATAAATATAATAATATGATAAATATTACATTAAAATAATTATAAATACATTATAGATACATAATAAATAATGAAAATAAATAATATAATAGATATAACGATAAATATAATATGTATAAATTAATATCATGCTATCAACAAATTTTTCCAATAGATGAAAAATTAATTCTCTTTTACATTTATTAAGGACCTGCTAAGTGCCATGTCACACATGCTATACATTAGTAATGGAGAGATGCAAGCTTACCATCCAATAAGGGGAATATGTCATGTACACAAATAAGTCTGAAACATAGTAGAAGGTGGTAAAAACAAAGTACTCCAAAAAAATCTGAGGAGAGCTCACTTTCATGGTGCTATAGATGGGGAGGAGAGTAGGGATGTACCAGGGAAGGAATCTTAGAGTTGGAGGATATACAGCTTGTTCACATGCAGAGGGACAGGAGTTTGTAGACAAGAGAAAAAAATAGATAGTTTGTCTACTCTGACTAGAATGTCAGACTATTTTCACATTTGGGGAGGAAGAATGTGAAATAAGGCCTGACAGGCAGGTTGGAGCCAGACTGTACAGGCTTTTAAATGATAAATTTATCCCACATGCAAAAGGAGGTACTAAAAGGTTTCTGAATGACATGGTCAGAACCTGCAAATTAAGGAGAGTAATTTGGCATGTAATATGAAGGATGGATTAGAGAGAAAAGAGGCTGGAGGCAGGGGGACTTTAGTTAAGAGGCTGTTATAGTAATCCAGGTGAGAGGGGATGAGGATCTCAAATAGAGTAGTGGCCAAATGAATGAAAAGAGTGTGGATGTATAATGGCTGCTACGTAGGTAAAATCAAGACTTGGTAAATGATCAGATTTGAGGTGTATGAGAGGGAAAGTCAAGAATTACATGAATTATTCAGAATTTTGTTACTGGCTTTGCATGATTGGATTAAGTAATTAATGACTCTTCAGGCTAATAAAAATGAAGAGGAAACGTTTGCTGTAACACTGATCCTAGGATGTAAAGAACAAAATTTTTATAAAGTAGTTTTGCTATTTAGATAACAAAGCCCTGGCTGAGCTTCCACTAAAGTCCTCTCATATGACAAGGAGAGATGACCCCGTCTTCTCAAAGATTACTTCTTAGAACTAAAGGAACAGTGGTCATCTAGTCTAACCATCAAGAAATGAGGCCAAAAGGTTAAGTCTTGATCACGGCTATACAGATAAGTAAACAGTCAGTCAGACCTCTGACTCTAAATCCAACACTTTCTACTGTACGACATGCAAGGTAGCACGCTAGGTACTGGGGAGTACAAAAACAAAAACGACAGCTTATGTGTCTCATGAGCCCAACTAAATTCAAAGCGCTCACTGGGTTGACCTGGGTGGAGTTTTTGGTTATACTATCTCTTAAGACTATCACCCTAGTCATGGAGAGGTACTGATTGACTCAAGCTAACTCCACAAAGCACTGAAGGAACTACAGCAATGCAAGAAAGCTTCTAAAATGACATCAGAAAACTCAAGTTTTGAATAACAGGGGAGAGACTACAGGAAGGTCCATGGTAATGAAGGTAGAGGCCCAGAGATGATTTTTTTTTATTTTAAAGTATGATCATTTTGGCATTATTTCCAGCTTTCTTCCTCGATTTCTTTCAAATCAGCATCCTCCCTCCCCTACTCCTGTGGTAGAAGCTCACTGATGTGGTCACCAACAAGAAACAAGCAAGCCAAACGCAGGCAACAAATACAATTTTGTTAGGCTCTCAACTTATTATGAACCCACAACATGCTTAAAACGTACAAGCCAGTTTCCTAAGCACTTGGAAAAATACAGACAATAAGGAAAGCTCCTTACCTGCAGCAAACTGACTTAAAGAGCCAAAGGGACAAGTAATTAGAAGACAAGAGTGCCAAAAATGAACTAACTTCTTTTAAGGATTGCACTGTGTGTGTGAGTGTGTGTAGGGAAGTGGGTGAGGAGTGAGAGGGATACTGTTTGAGGAAGTATCTGGCTGTCAAAACAAAATAAGTATATATGTTTTTCAAGGTGCTTAGAAAGCATGCATAAAAAAAATTTGGTTTAAAATTTCAGAAGGCAAGGTAAAAGGTCAGGGGCTATTTCCTTTCTGTCTGCATTTCCAGCTTCTAGCTGAGAAGAAAGACTCAACTTATCTATCACATAGAGGAAGGATTAGGCTTGAGGGCAGAACCAGACGGAATAGGGAGATATTGAAAAGAAGCAAATTTAAGCTTGATGTTGAGAACAACTTCCTGACAGTCAGGGTTTTCCAAAAGTTGAATTGGTTTCCTAAAGGTTGATGGTTTCCCCCCACCTTGGAGGTCTTCAAGCAGGGGACTGGACAACCATTTGCCAAGTGATGATTTAGTAGGGATTCCTTTCATATATGGATTGGACTGGATGGACCCTAAGGGGGGTAATCTGCAACCCTATGATGCTTCCTTGGGCATATCACTTAACTTCCCCATTTCCTTGCCCATAAAAGAAGGGAGAGAGTCGAACCAGAAGACCTCTAAAGTCCTTTCCATTTCTACATCAATTTATCAAAAATAACAGCATAGCAAATGTTGGAACAATTAAGATTCATTTTAAAACCATAATTTCTCTGTCTTTTTTTTACAAGGTGGTAAGAATTTCTCTTAAAAGCAGACAACAGGCAAGATGGTCAAACTAAAGTACTGAATCAGTTAATAAAAATAATGAACTTTATGATGCAAAATGACAGAAATCATTTCATCTCAATAAGGGAGAATGTGTGTGTGTGTGTGTGTGTGTGTGTGTGTGTGTGTGTGTAAGAAAGAGAGAGAGAGAGAGAGAGAGACAGTGAGTGGGTTTGGGGGTCTCAAACATTAGATTTTATAGAGACATAGCTTTAGAACTGGAAAACATATGGATTCTGTAGTCTATGCCCATTATTTTTTTGTTTCTACTCTCCTAGTCTTTCCATTTGGGGTTGCTCTTCTCATAGGATTCTAGGTGTAGACATAAATAAAATGGAATCAAACAGAAGTGAACACACTGCTAAGCATACTGCTCTCCAGAGGAGCCTAGATTCTAAGCCACTAGAGCACTGGATGACAATTTGCAAGGGATTTTAAGCTTTATAAAGTGCTTTTCTCATAGCAGGCCTCACTTTACAGATAATATACAGAGAAATGATGTGACTATTCCAATGTCATACGTTAAATAAATATCAGTAGGGCAGTTAGGTGGCTCAGTAGATAGAGCTCTGGTCTTGGAGTTAGGAGGACCTGAGTTCAAATCTAGCCTCAGACACTTGAAGCTTACTAGCTGTGTGACCCTGGGCAAGTCACTTAACCCCAAATGCCTCACCAAAAAAAAAAGAAAAAAAAAAGTCAGGGCCATGAAGGAACTTAATCTCTCTGATCCTCAGTTTCCTCATTTACAGAATGAGATATACCTGTAGTATATCTACCTTAAAAGGTTCTCGTATATGTAAGGGCTACAAAAATGGCAATTTCTATAATTATCCCCTCTCTTTAAATTTCCGTGCTGTGCCCTTCACCCGTCCTGACATCCCTAGGTAGCATAATAAGTGTCATGCCTTCAATGAGAAGCACTTACCTTTAAAAGCATCCAGGAGACGCAGGTAAAAGGGGTGCTCATCTCCAGTAGCAGGGTTGTCATGGCTAGATAGTGGCCAGCTTTGAGATTGATCACTAACCCAAGAAATCCAAGAAAGGCAAAAAGATGATGGACTACTAAGAACATGTCAAATGTCCAGAAAACCAAATTTGACACATGAACAGCAGCATTTTCAAAGAAAAAGAAGCCAGTTGCAGTTGCAATATTAAACCAGCACCAGTTCTGCTGTGAATATGCTTTATCAGCAGAAAGAACAGGGTCCCCGAGCAAAGCCCATACACCAGCAATGGAGCTTTGAACTCCAAAAACTGCTCGGGTGGCAGCAAGATTCCAGAAAACCTTCTCCTTAGCTACCAGAGATCGATAGGTGGCATTAAGACAGGAAGAGAGCTGATGGCAGACCACAAAGACACCCAGGTAGAAGAAAAAACCGGCCACCACTAACGTCAAGCGGATTTTCCATGAAGCATAGTCCATGTTAAAAATGCTTTTAGATGCCATACTGTCACTTTCAAGACTCATTTTTCTACTTGAAATTACAGAGACGTCTTATACAGTTCAACCACTTTTTAGTCTAGTGCCAATGCCTTCTTTTCTGGCTTCCAGGATCCTCATATGTCTCTCTTTGATCTGGAAAAAAAAAAAAAAAGATAGTTCACTAATATGGACCAAGTGGAATCTGGAACACAAAACTACTGTGCTTCCCTATGGCATTAAAATACCATATACCATTTTATAAAAGGAAAAATAAGGAATGTAAAATCACGTTCCCAAATAGGTGAGTTCATTTTATGCTTAACCATCTGGACTAGATGGTCTCTAATCTAAGGTCCAATAAATCAACAAACAGTAAATCCTGAAGATAAAAATATAGAAATCAGACAATTCTTGACCTCAAGGAGCTTACTACTAAATTCACTCAAACTCTTTGAAGCTCTTCCCATGATGCTATGAACCTTTGGCAAGGGCTGGTAAAAGAAGTAAGGAAGGAAACAAGCATTTGCTTACTATGTGCCAGGCATTAAGCAAAGCACTAGGAAATACAATAATAACAGCTAGCATTTATTACTTTAAAGTTTACAAAGTGATATGTGTTCTCATTTTAATTTTACAACCCTGTATACTATCCCTATTTTAGAGATAGGGAAACTAAGGCTGAAAGGTTGACTTGACCAGCATCACACAGCTATTAAGTGTCTGAAGGAAAAGTGAACTCAGACCTTCCAGACTCCAAGTCCAGTGCTCTGTCCACTGCACCAACTAGCTGTCTCTAATAGTATTAACAAAAAAAAAAAAAAAAAAAAAAAAGAAAAGAAAGGCAAAAATAGCCTGGGCTCTCAAGGAACTCACAGGAAGAAAACATGTAAACATCTATGCACCAACAAGAAATACACAAAATAATTGGGAATAGTCTCAAAGAGAAGGTACCAGGATTAAAGGGAAAGGTTTCTGGAAGGCGGGACTAACTGAGTCTTAAAAGAATCCAGACAGCAAAAAAGCAGGGATATGGGAGAGCATTCTGGGCATGGAGACTAACCAATGAAAATGCACTGAGTCTGCAGTGAAATATCTTGTTCCAGTAAGCAGGTCAGTGTCTCTGGATAGTAGAGTCTATGGAGGGAAGTAAAGCATAAGAAGTATGGAAAGTATGAATGGCAAAGGTGTGATATGAAGGGTTTTAAAAGTCAAGCAGGATTTTATATTTGATCCTGGAATAATAGGAAACCATTGGAATTTAATGAGGAGCAGCAGAGGGGTGTGTGTATGTGTGTGTGACGGTAAGAATTATGCTTTAATGCCACTCTGATAGCTGGCTAGAAAGGGGGAGAGACTTGAATCAGGGAAACCAAACAGGGAGTAACTACAATAGTACAGATATAATCCGCCTGTACCAAGATGGTAGCAGTTTCAGGAAAGATGTCATGAAGGTAGAATTGATAGGTTTTGGCAACAAATTGGATGGGGGATGTGTGTGTGTGAAAAGGGGGATGTCAGTGAGGAGCTGAGGATAACACCTAGGATGCCGTCCCCCGTAACTCCAAGGATGGTGGTATCCTGGACAGTGACAGGGAAATTTGGAAGAGGGGAGAGTTTGAGGGAAAATAAGTTTAGTTTTGGACATGTTGAGTTTTAAGAAGTCTATGTGACATTCTGTTCAAGATGTCCAATAGGCAGTTGGAAACATGAGACTGAAGGTCAGGAGAGGTTAGGGTTGGATAAATAGATGGAAGAATCATCTGTAAAGAGTAATGATTGAATCCATGAAGAGATCAACAAAATAAATAGCAGAGAGGGAGCAAAGGGCCCACAACAAACCTTGAGATACAACCAAAGTTAGTAGGTATGATGAAGATACAGAAAAGGAGACTGAGAGAACAAGGAAAATGTAGTGTCAGAGTAAACAGAGTATCAAGGAGAAGAGGGTGATTGACAGTATCAAAGTCTGAAAAAAGGACAAGGAAGATGAGGATTGAGAAAAATACATTAGACTTGACAATCAAAAGATCCATTGGTAACTTTGGAGAAAGTAGTTGGCAGTCTAGTGAAACCTATGGACTTTTTCTTAGGATGTTTCTAAATGTATAAAATATACAGAATTACAAAACAATTATGTTAAAACAAAAGTCAAAATACTAAAAAAAAAGTTCACTGACCCATTTTAATATCACTTGATCTAAAGTCCAGCAGCTAGGTGGCACAGTGGATAAGAGTACCTGGCCTGGAGTCAGGAAGACCTGAGTTCAAATCCAGCCTCAGACTCTTACTGTGTGATCCTAGGTATGTCATTTAATCCTTTTTGCCTCAGTTCCTCATCTGTAAAACGAACTAGAGAAGGAAATGGCAAACCACTCCAAACCACTTGGCAAACCATTTTGCAAAGAAAACCCCAAATGGGGTCACAAAGAGTTGGATACTACTGAAAATGATTGAACCACGAAAATTCCTGACTCTAGGTCCATCACTATATTTGCTGTGTCACCTTGCTGTCTCCACCAAATCAACACTTCAACTAGTACTGAAAAGTATAGATCAACTCTCCAATAGCACTATTTGCCACCCTTGTGATTTACTACAATCTCTCTCTCTCTCTCTCAGAACCCTTTATGTGTTTCCCTAGTTAATTAGATTGGTGTGCTTGTATTTCCAGCCTCTTAAACCAATTCAAACAAGGTCCTTAGGGAAAGACTATAAATAAATTTAAGTTCAGGATAATAAAATAAATTAGGCCTATAGTTTCACTGATTAAATCAATCGAACTAGGAATCATTTTTGTATCTTAAGATTTTTAAATTACATCTGAAATGACACTATCACAGTAAGAAGTGACATAAACTAACACTTAAAAAGTCTCCAAATACAGTTAGGCAATCATCTGCCCCACTACTAAGCCAAAATAGGACTGGATTAGAAATGTTTTTGAGTGTTGACAATGTTGACAATGTTGTCTAGTTTCCTTGATTTGGGCCAGTGGGTATCAAAAGAAAATGACAGCTTAATAGAACTTTCATGTGATTAATTCTTTAAAACTCATCTTCCAACAGAAGCCACCAGCTAACATCTAGCTCAATGTTCCTTCTGCCTGTTAAAGCTGTGAAGTACCTGATGTCTTTTCCACAACAGGATGGCAATCCTGCATGTGTTGCAACTGAAATCTAAATAATGAAACAAGTTCAAAGCAGAAGTAGATCTAAAATTGAAACTTCCATTCCTTCAATCACAAATTTAGTCTCTTAAAACTGCAAAACAACTCCAGAAGCCTAAAGAAATCTCACACTCAAAAGTACCTTAGCCTTCTGGAAACTAAATAATCTCTTCCATATATATGCATGTATGTAAGCAAGTATATATAAGTGTACATGTACTTGTATATATATAGCTAACTATTTTTCAGATGTAAGTTAATGCTGTTGTGATTAATAAAATAGAAAAACTAAGTGTTACTGAACTCACAGAAACTTTTTGTCTTCATGTATTTTCTCAAAAATTACTGAGTACAATTTACTATCAAGTATTGTGGCTGAGAGAGAGAGGGGAAGGGATGTATGGAATTTTCTGACATTCAAAAGGGGTCCTCATACTCAAAAACAGCATAGTATAAGAGAGGGCAGGTCATGCAGTCAGAAAGCACTCCATACTGCCTTTGATCCATACAGAGGTTATGACTCACAATTTCTCAAAGTCCAAAGCAACGCTCTAAGAGTGTATATTAAAAGATGAGTTATTGACATGCATTTGAGGCCCTGAAAAAAAATCAGGTCTTGACCAAACAAAACTCATACTCAAAAATGTTGAAAACTTCTCTTACACTAGGCTGCCTTATCTATACTTTGCATCTCTCCCAGCTCCTAGCAAAAGGTTTTGCCCAAATAAGTGCTTAATAAATGTTTACTTTATTGGCTAAAGTCACCCACTGAGGTGGCAACAGGGCCAGGAATTGATTCTGTGACTCCTGTGTCTCAGTTTAGTGCTCTTTCCAATATACCCACTTTGATTCTGGTGGAAAGTCTTCTTTTATTTTCCATAAGCACTTGGTTGTATGTTTGAAATATCAAAGGTCAATTAGTCAGAATAATCTTCATGATTTTCTCTTTTCTCTTTCTTTGTAAAGACTCATCTCCCCCATGCCTGGAATGCACTTTCCTTCCTTACTATACTTCAGAATCTCTAGCTTTCTTCAAAGTTCAGATTAAGCCCCTCGACCTAGAATCTGTCCAAATTTTCCCCTCCCAATTGTCAGTATTCTCTACCTAGAAATTGTTTTTTGAAAAATTTTGCATTTGAACTTTCTAGGTATCTCTCCAGTAAGATGAAAACTCCTTGAAGGGACTATTTGTTTTTTCCTTTTAGTTTTCAAATCCTTAGTTCCTTGCACAATGTCTGACTCACAGCAATGACTAAGATGAATAGGTATGTGATTTTAAGCTAATCAATAAATATACACGATACAATAATATAAATCGAAAAAACATCAACCACAAAATAACTGAAAATAAATGTTATAAAATTACAAAGACCAAGCTTGACCACAAAGAGCTATGAACACTGTATATAATGCCAGATTGGTTTTGCTTAACTCCCCCCGTGCCCTTCCTATTTTTTAAAAATTGTTATAAGGAAAGACTCTCTGGGAGGAGAGGAAATATAGGGGAAATGATCCAGAAGGGAGGAAAATGAGGTCAGAAGCAGAGATAACATCCTGTTATGTTATGTCCAGCTCTTTGCAATCCCATTTGGGTTTTCTTGGCCACTGGAGTGGTTTGCCATTTCCTTCTCTAGCTCATTTTACAGATGAAGAACTGAGGCAAAGAGGGTTAAATGACTTGCCCAAGGTTAATGTCTGAGGCCAGATTAGAACTCAGGAAGATGAGTTTTCTTGATTTAGGCCAGGCACTCCATCCACTGGGCCATCTAGCTGCCCATTACAACCTGAGCAAGCACTAAGGGCTGGAAGGGTTGGAGGTTATGAGGGTGAAAATTAGGTAAAGGAAGAAGGGTGAAGCATAGGGAGAGATGGAATGACAACAGATTGTGATGAGAAGGGAATTCTGTGACTATATAGTTAGAATGTTCTTGGAGTTTCTTTCATTGCTAATGGGAGGCCTAGCCAAAGGGGTCTAGTGACAATTGCAATAAGTCATTTGGATTCAAAGATAGTTCTTTGATTATCAACACTTAGCACAGTGCCTTGCACACAATAGGTGCTTAATTAATATTTTTGATTGATTGATCATCATTGAAAAGGTAGTGATCTAATTTCTAGTTTCCTATCTGCCTCAATTTCAAATGACCTTCTAACTCTAAAATTTGATGACTCTCTAAACCTGTTCGACAGCTTAATATCTGCATTAAAGAAAAAAATAAAAGTACATGCATCTTTACAGGCCTCTTTCTAGACCTAGATTTTTTGTCTTCAATATTTTAACCCAAAACACATTAGATTTCTCCTCCCTCCCTCTCCCCTACCCCCCATGCCAGGAAGGAAGGTCAGTCATTTCATCCCCTAAAGGAACACTTTAGATTAAGTCATTCATATCACCTCTAGTATTCTTAGAAATCTTAAGGCACATTTGAAAATTAACTTATAAAATGTTTAGAAAGCCCATGTTAAGTATCTGTCAAGAACACTTGTCTATTAACAGCATGGTTCTTCAGATATGGATTTATTCAACCCTTATCACTTCTTGAGTGTAGCTCAAGTTTAAGGGAGATTTGCCTAGGGTGGCTGGCTCCCTGAAATGTGCTAAAGCAATACAGTAGTGGAAAGCGCTCTGTTCTTGAAGTTAATCTGAGGTCAATCCCATTTAAGACACTAGTTGTGTCTTTAGTTTCTCCATCTGTAAAATGGGTAGACTATTTCCTGCCCTAATTTCCTCACAAGGCTATTATATGGAAGGTACATTATTATAATCTATCTAAGGGCAGAGACAGTTTTCATTTGTCTTTCTGTATCTCCAATGCTAGTATTGGTGCTGTTCATTCATTTCAGTAGCGTCCAACTCCATGACCCCATTTTGGGGTTTTCTTGACAAAGATATTGGAATGACTTGCCATTTCCTTCTCCTGGTCATTTTACATATAAGTAACAGAGGCAAACAGAGTTAAGTGACTTGCCCAGGATAGGATCACTCAGCTAGTAAGTGTCTGAGGCCACAACTGAACTCAGGAACATTGAGTCTTTCTGATTTCAAGCCTAGTGCACTATCCACTGGACCACATAGCTGTCCACCTTAGTATAGTGCTTAATATTGTGATTTGGAAAACTTAAATGTTGGATTACAAATTATTATTCATCAGAATTCATTCAGCAAGCATTTATTAAGCACCTGCTATGTGCTAGGTACTACGTGAGTGGTATCCTATCAGGATGGATAACAGTCTGATACACAAACTGTTTATTACATTAGGGATAGGGAACAAGGAACGATCCTTGTGGTTTCAGTAGCGGAGGAACTAATGGATGAAGAAACTCCTGATATAAAGGAAATCTGCATCTTCTCTGCAACTTATAGTCTTGGAGAGTTGCCTAGAGCATTGAGTGGTTAAGTGACTTGTCCAGAGTCACACAGTCAATACGTGTCAGAGGCAAAATTTAAACCCAAGGCCAGCCTTCTATCTACTATCCCAGAGTGCCACTCACCTCTATTTTACAGGTAAAGAAAGTGAGCCTCAAAGAGTTTAAGTGACTTGTCCTTAGGTACACAGCTACATGAGTGTTGGTACTGGGATTTAAACCCAGGTCTTCTGACCCTAAATATATTTTTCTTTACACAATATTCTCTTAACTAGACAAAATGCATGTCTTTGGGAAAACCATTTCACTTCTTTGAGATTATTTTCTCACCTATAATGGAGATGAATCATCAAGGCCCTTTCTGGCTCTGCCATTTTATGATTTACTGAAACCCAGAGAGTTGAAGCAAATGTGTACTGAAATTCAAAGACCTGCTTTTTATCTTCCACTTACTGCCTGTATGACCTTAGACACATTACTTCTCTAGGCCCAAGTTCCCTTTCTGTCAAATCTGGCATGATATACATTCCCTCCTCAGTTCCACCTTTCAGAATCTTTTCAAAACATAGCTCAAATGTCACCTCCTTTTTGAGGCTTTTGTTAATTCTCTTAAAATTACAAGTAATAACTTTATGTATAATTATGTGTACATGTTACCTACCTCTATGGAATGCAACTTCTCAAAGATAAGGACAATTTCAGTGTTGTCTTTGTATCCCCACTGCAGAACACATTCCCTAGCATTATAATATATGCTTAACTGTCAAATTCCCTCCCAGTTCTAAATCTATAATCCCATGACTTTTCCACATCACACATGAAATAAACTGTATAGGTAGGACTAGAACCTAGGTCCACTGATTTCCAGGTCAGGGCTCTCTCTACTACACCAAGGCTGGAAACAGGTTTCTTGACAAAGCACTGTTAATTCTCAGGAAATGAGCTGACTTTGGTCCCATACTTAAATGATTCATGACCTGAAATGATTCATGACCTGAAACATGGTATAGTACTGAGCAAAAAAACGCGCTCATTTTGGAATCAGAAGACCCGAGATTCAAATCGCAGTTCTTTCAATCACTAGCTGGAGGATCTTAGGCAAGTTATTTCATGTTGCTGGTGCTTTGGTTTCCTCATCTGTAAATTAAAAGGTTTGGATTTGATAATCTCTAGTTTCCCCTCTCCAGAACTAAATCTACTACCTTAAAGTGGAAAACTTTTTTTGTCATGTACTTTTCTGACTTTGGGCTGCTCCTCAAAACAATGTCACTGGTCTGATATTCAAGGTCTTTCTAATTTTGGCCAAATATTGTGCTCCATTGGCATAGCCTTCAAGAATCACCCTCTTGAAAAAAAGGGCTTGAGGTTTACACTCGAAGTAAGTAGAATGGGGAACTTCCCCCTTTGTCCCATATTTGGGAGAAAGCAATAAACTTCAAATTTTCCCAGGGCCTGTTGCATGGATCTCCCCTTTGCCCCCAATATATTTGTATATGTATGAATCATTTCCCCAAGAAGTAGAATCTAAGTAGAATGAAGGCAAGACCTGGGTCATTCTTTCATCTTCATAAGACTACATCTGCCACAGGGCCTCACACATAGTAGGTGTTTTTGTCCAAACTGTATTGGAATCAAAGCTGAAAGGGACTCAGATCATGTAGATTTTAGTCGAATCTTTCATTTTATTGGCAAGGAAACTGAGGAAATTAGAGAAGGGGAGTGTTTTGCCCAAGCTCAAAAGTATTAAGTGGCAAAATTGACAGTGTATTTTCATTATCCCAGCTCCTAGCTACAAATCCAGTATCCTTTCCCCCCATTTTGGAAGCTACAAAAAGAACATGTCCACTAATGAGCGCTTCAAAGTTTGGGACACCGGCAGGGTTTTCTGTTTGCCCTTTCCCACAGCCTACAAAAGCAGCTGACTTTGGGGCAGCTAGGTGGCGCAGTGGATAGAGCCCCGGCCCTGAAGTCGGGAGGACCTGAGTTCAAATCCGACCTCAGACCAAACACTTGACACTTACTAGCTGTGTGACCCTGTGCAAGTCAATTAACCCCAATTGCCTTACCCCCCCCCAAAAAACAAAAAAAACCAGCTGACTTTGTAGATAGGGACCCAGGAACCAAAGCTGTCACCCCATCGCAACAAATCGAAGATCACTCCCATTCACAATACTCTCCTGGGCAATAAAAATTCATTCCAAGGTCGGGGTGGGAAGGAGCAGATTTCGTATAGAGACTCATAAAATGGACCAGACCAAGTACACGGTTTAGCGATCTAATGTAATCTATTCACTTTAGAGACGCAGGAAAACAACTGGTTCGTGTTCCCCACACGGGAGAAGCAAAAGAGGGGGTACAGATGGGATCATCCCTTTCCCCCCGCCGGGCTGGAGGACGGATCCTAAGGGGTTCCTCTGCTCTGGCTCTTTCACGCATCCCGAGGGAGCAGGATGGGGGGGGCAGGGCGGCGGATGACCACTGTCACCTCTAAAAAGAGGGCCGACTTGGAGCCAGAAGGCCAGCGGACTGCGGTGCCCCAGGTGCGCTGGCCTCGCCATCCTCACCTGCCCGTCTCCTTCTCCACAATCTAAGCCCTTTGCACTGTCTCCGCCACCCCCCCATCCTGTTTTCGGGGGTCACTCACGCAGATCCGCGGGCCTCAGTTCTCTGCAACCCTTCGGGGCTCCTTCGCTTGGCTCGGATCTACCAAAGTCAGCACCCCCACCCGCACCCGAATCCAAACTTGCAAGATCGCCCCGATCCCCGGGGACCCGCGGTAACGCCAGCCTCCGGACGCGCCTACGCAGCAGTCAGGCGTGGGACCAGAGCAGAGCCACAGAGCCTCAGAAGCTCGTGAGCGAGCCCCACCCACGTGATGACCGGCCTAACCCGGCCCGCGCCATTCCTGCGAAGGGAGGGGGGAGTCCCGAGGGAGGAACTGGACTGTACCAAGTGGTGGAGTGGAGGAGACACCGAAGGAAGAAAGCTGAGGGCGGAAGTAGAATTCAGCGTCCGTCCTATCGGCCTAGGCTGGAGGCGACCTTTGCGCTCACAGGGTAATAGTTGTAGAGGTAGAAGGGGCCTTAGAAGTCTTCCAGTTTAGGGGCGGCTAGGTGGCGCAGCGGATAGAGCACCAGCCCGGAAGTCAGGAGGACCTGAGTCCAAATCTGCCCTCAGACCAAACACTTGACACTTACAAGCTATGTGACCCTAGGCAAGTCACTTAACCCCAATTGCCTAAAAATAAAAAAAAAAAAAGTAGAAGTCTTCCAGTTTAGTCCCCCAGTTTTACCAAAAAAGGAGAATGAGACCCAGGGAATTGAAGCAATTTGCCTGAGGATCACATAGTTTTGTAAGTGGCAAAGGCCGGGTTAAAACCCAGGTCTGCGATGATGAGGTTGGACTGGATGGCCTCCGAGGCCCCTCCCGGGCCTAGCGCTGTGGGCCTGTGAAGCCAAATCCAGCACGCCTTCCCCGAACCCCCTCATTTTACAGAGAAGGAAATGGAGGCCCGGAGAAGCCACCCAGGTAATCAGTGGCAGAGCTGCTCTGGGGAGCAGCCTCCGCTGGGAGGCGCAGTGCACAGAACGCTGCGATCAGCGGGAAGTCTGATTTAGCCTGAGTTCAAATGCGCCCTCAAACACTTACTCTCCGTGACCTTGGGCAAGTCACTTAATCCTGTTTGTTTTAGCTTCCTCATTCAGAAAATGAGCTGGAGGAGGAAATGGCAAACCACTCCAGAAGTATCGGGCACGACTGAACAACAATATTATTTGATGGCTATGAGCTTTTCTCTGCAGCACGAGCCTGTTAAAGTAAATGTTTCATTGATATCACCAGTTGATAAGAGGCATTGGGGGGAGGGCAATAAGAAGAATCATTTGCAAGCAGCCTAAAATCTGTTAAGAAAAGATTCGGAGGCGGGGAGGGGAGACCTAATCAAACGAAATCTTGCTTTTATTAATGAGGTTATTTGGGTTGAGAATTTATGTTTGAAGTTCTCTTCACCCATTATCCCATCTCCAGATTCCTGACGTCTATTCATAGTAATAGTTCCCATTTGCATAATGTTGGAAGGACCTTAAAGATCGTCTAAGGGGCCAGACCAACCTCCTCATTTTTCAAGTTAGGAAACTGAGTCCCAGAGTGGCCAAGTGACTTGTGCCAAGTTGTAAAGGTATTAAATAGCGAAACTGAAGTTTGAACGCATGTCCTCTTAGAAATCCAGTATTCTTTTCACTATACCATACTGCCTCCAAAAAATTTACAAAGTGTTTTATTGATAATGGAAATTCATATTTATACAGCATTTTATTAAATACTTTAGGGCAATTATTTTACTGATTCTCACAACATGCCTGTGAGGTAAGTAAGTATTGCAGATATCAATCCCCCCCTTTTTTTTTACGGCAATTGGGGTCAAGTGACTTGCCCAGGGTCACACAGCTAGTAAGTGTCAAGTGTTTGGTCTGAGGCTGGATTTGAACTCAGGTCCTCCTGACTTCAGGGCCGGTGCTCTATCCACTGCACCACCTAGCTGCCCCGTACAGATATCACTCCCAATTTACAACTGACTAAACTGAAGTCCAGAAAGTTTATTTGACCAAAGCTAGTGATGGTTGGAATGGGATATGAACTCAGGTCCACAGCTTTTTGTTGTTTCTTCTGCAACACAAGAAAAACTCAAGCCAATTGCATATTCCTTATTACTAATCAGAGCAAGTTGTTAAGTAGGAATTGTGGATTAATAGGTCCCTCCAAATAACTATGGAATAAACAAAATATGTAAGTAAACGGTACAGGAACTTATAGCTAAGGCTCTGGACTGCCCAAATGGGGAAGTACCTAGATCTGGTTACAATGCTGCAACGCAGTGTCACTGGGGCTTTCTCTGGCCTGTGGGACATTTTGAACTAGACAGATGTCTTATAGACATCTTAAATTCATCAGCAAGTCCAAAACTGAATTCATCATCTTTTCCCCCAAACCCTTCCCAAATTCTACTTCTAAACTTCCCTATGACCAAGAAGAGCATCACCATCCGTACCCCTAGTCATCCAGGCTTGCAACCTAGGTGTTATTCTCTACTCCTCATTCTCCGCCTCTCTTCCCATATCCAAATTGTTGCCAAGGGCTGTTGATGTTAACCATAGCAACACTTTTCTCCTCTGATACTGCCACCACTTAGGTCCAGGTTCTCTTCACTTCAGTGCTGGACTGTCATACTCTGCTGGTTGGTCTCTTGGATGTGAGTCCTTTACGTTACATGCCCTTCTTCATTCAGCTGTCAAAGTGATACTCAAAAGGCGCGAGTATGAACATATCAAGCCCCCTCTACACCTCCAGGATCAAATATAAAATCCTCCGGCATTCAAAGCCCTTCATAACTTGCCCCACTCCCCAGCCTGGCCCACACCTTTCCAGCCTTCTTACATCTTAATCTTTTCCCCAAAATCTCACACACACCCTTCCCCACCCCCACCCCCACCCCCACCCCCATCCTCTGTGATAACAGTGAAAATGGCCTCCTGGCTGTTCCTCAAACTAGACCAGGGGTGGAACCTACAGCCTCTAGGCCACATGTTTCCCTCTGGTTCCTCAAGTGTGGCTCTTTGACTGAAGTTATCAGTCATATGAGGCCATAGGTTCCCCACCCCTGAACTAGACACTCCATCTCCAGAGGAACATTTTCACCGACTGTTCCCACTGCCTGGATCTCATCTCTGCCTTTTTGCTTCCTTGGCGTTATTCAAGTCCTAGCTAAAAATCTCATCTTCTACTGGAAGACTTCATTTGTTTCATAAATTCTAAAGGTATTAAAGCTTAATAATGCTAGTTAATTTACTGTTTAGATTAGATTATGCTTTAATCCACTCACCAAAGGGTCTACCTACTTGTGAGTGTGCTCCCTGGGAAGGAGTGTTTTTGTCACTCATTCTTTTTATAATAAGATTACCTCAGCCATTAGCAAAAGTCCTTAATTTCAGCCCTTTGTCTTCCCCAAACCCAGAGATAACATGCCCTTTTTAATATTTCTATGGTTGGATTTAACCTTTTTTATAATTTTTTAGCCTTCAGAGTAGCACTATTTCAAAGGTGCTGAGGAGTTTAGAAAATGCAAGCACATCTATAATTTCCGTTTTTCCTATGATTCTTGCACGTATTTCTTGTGGAAGGAGAAGCCTAGATGTGTTTTGGAGGAGGGATAATCAGATTTATTTTACCTAGACTTAGGACCATAGTACTAGGAAGGGATCAGCTCCTGTAAGAGAAGAAGAGTAAATAGTGGGAGGCCTTTTGTATAAGAGAGCTGAGTTGGGAAGGAGTTTTGTGAATGTTTAAACCAGGTAGAAGAAGATTGGTAAGGGGAGGGGAGGAGGGGAGACATAAAAGCTGTATTCAAATATTTGTAGGACAGTCCTGTGGAAGAGGAATTTACATTTGTTTCCCTTCTTTGGAAGGGGCCACTGGAGAGGTTCTTTAAAGGGAATTTAAATTTGTTGTTGGTAAAAACTTCCTAACATTTGGTGCTGAACCAAAGAGAAATGTTCTACAAAGGGAGATGGTGGATTTCCCTTGCTTAAAAGTTTTCAAGTTGAAGCCTATCATCGCTGTTCAAAATACCAACATCCCACTCCAGCATTTTCTCTGGATGTCCTCTATATGCCTGCAAGGCTGTCTCTCCTCATCTCTGCCTCCTAACTTCTCCAGCTTCCTTAAGTCTCAATTCAAATCCCAGTTTTTACAGGAAGCCTTTCCCAACTCCTCTTAACTCTAATACCTTCCCTTTTAAAATAATGTCCTACTTAGCCTATTACTTATCTTACCTAGCCTAGCTTTCTTTGTATATATTTTGCATATTGTCTTCCCCTAACATAAGGATTGTGAGGGCAGGGACTATCTTATGCCTCTTATTGTATCCCTACCACTTAGCACAGTGCCTGGAATGTTTGTTGGTACTTAATATATGTTCATTAATTGATCTGTTGATTGACTGGATGGTCCCAACAAGACCTTCCACATTCTAATTCATCTGTCTGTTTGGGGGACAGCCCCGGGAAAGGCACTGAAACTAGAAATGGAATGGTATGTGTGTGGGTGAGGAAAAAAGGGAACTGCAATTATTCTGTGGCAACTTTATGGACCAACAATGTAGAAATTCCCTAACCACTTGGTGGCCTAATTTAGAAACTCTCCAACCCCTATGAAGAAGGTGGTAAAGTCCATAGTCATCTACTGTTGTCATAAGTACTTGCTATCCTTGGATAAGAGACTTGCAATTTTACCTAAAGGGACTTCTTTCACAATTATAAAAGTATTTGACTTCTTTCCCCTTTCTCCTTTTTTATTATTCTGATAATAAATTTTGCCACTTGAATTTCGAATACTCCCCATTTCTCCCTTGACTGATTCCCTCTTCTTCTATTCCTCCTGTAAAATACTCTACTTTTCTAAGTTGCTGCAGAATGCTGCTGATTAGCCATGGGTCTGAAAGGTTATAAAAAGTGTAGCTGTACCCTAAAATTTGCTATCAGGGAGCGATTCTTTAGTGTGCTAATGTGTCTCTTTACTTTCAGTTTGGTCTCCTATATTTGACCCACAGTCTTTGCCGCTGGTAAGTATTCAGCTCCTGGGAGGTGCAGAGAATTCCCTAACATGTGCTAGAAATAACAAGATTGATAAAGTTGGATAATAGAGTGTGTGGAGGGGAATAAAGTGGAAGAAGTATGGAAAGGGAGGAATGGGCTAAGTTATGAAGAGTTTTAAATGCCAAAAAGGGGATTTTATATTTGATCCTGGAGGTAGGTAATAG